AAAAAAAAAAAATGCTAGGGCCGGCACGTGGCTCACTCGGGAGAGTGTGGTGCTGATAACACCAAGGCCATAGGTTCGGATCCCACATAGGGATGGCCTGTGGCTCACTGGGTGAGCGTGGTGCTGACAACACCAAGTCAAGGGTTAAGATCCCCTTACCGGTCATCTTTTAAAAATAAAAAATAAAAAATAAATGCTAGACTTCTACAACTGAAAGAAACCAAACTTGAGAGAAAACATGTTTTTCTATATAACTATAATATTCTTGAAGGAGTTGCAGAAGGATTTCTCCTTCTAAGTATGACCCTTCAATAAATAGTCACTGGATTGTGAAATCTTGCAAAAAATATCTTCTATAACAATGAATTACCTCATTATTGCCTGCTAGAATCTAGACACTTAGCTTTATCACAAATTAAAATGAATTTGCCTTAGATTATCATCACACAATCCTGCTCCCACTGTTACCAATGCTACAAAGTAAAGCAAACTGAGGGGATGTCCACACAGTGATTTGCTCACTCAACCCAAGGCAGGCAAGTGTTTTAAAATTCAAACCTCTCTTAAACAACCACTGTGTCAAAGAAGAAATCATGAAGAAATCAGACATGTTGAGACATAGAAAACAAAAAGACAACATACCCAAACTGATGGGATGCAGCAGAAGCAATGTTCAGAGGCAAATGTATAGCTAAAAATGCCTAAAAAGAAGAATGCTCTCAAATCAACAATCTAACTTTCCACCTCTGAAACCAGAAAAAGAGCAAACTACACCCAAACCCAACAGAGGTACCTAGAATAGCCAAATTCATACAGACAGAAAACAGAATGGTGGATGCCAGGGGCTGGGAGAAGAGGAGAATGGGATTTACTGTATAATGGGAACAGAGTTTCAGCTTGAGAAGATGAAAAAGTTCTGGAGATGAATGGTGACGAAGGTTTTACAACAGTGTTATTGTACTTAATGCCACCAAACTGTACACTTAAAGAAGAGGAGAATGGGATTTACTGTATAATGGGAACAGAGTTTCAGCTTGGGAAGATGAAAAAGTTCTGGGGATGGATGGTGACGAAGGTTTTACAACAGTGTTATTGTACTTAATGCCACCAAACTGTACACTTAAAAATGGTTAAAATGGTAAATTTTATGTTATGTATATTTTGCTACAATAAAAAAATTACATTTGAGAATTATTACTAAAAAAACAAAACAAAAACCAGCATAATGAGATACCGCTTCGCATCCACAGGATGATTATAATAAGAAAAACAGAAAATAACAAGTTTGGCAAGGACGTGAAGAAATTAGAACCCTCATGCATTGCTGCTGGGAATGTAAAATGGTGCAGAAGATATGGAAAACAGTTTGCCAGTTCCTCAAGAAATTAAACATAGAATTATGAAATGATCCAGCAATTCCACTCGTAGGTATTTACCCAAAAGAAGTGAGAACGGGTCCTCAAACAGGTTCATGTTCACAAATGTTCACAACAGCATTACTCGCAATAGCCAAAAGGTAGAAACAACCCAAATGTCCATCAATGGATGAATGGATAAACAAATTCCTTAATTAGTATAAATCATTCAAATTCAGCCACAAAAAGGAATGAAGTATTAATATGTGCACAACTTGGATGGTCTCAAAAACATTATGCTAAGTAAAAGAATCCAGTCATTAAAGGCCACTTGTTGTCTGATTCCTTTTACATGAAATGTCCAGAATAGGCAAATCCGTAAAGAAAGAAAGCTGACTAATGGTTGCCGGGTGATAGGCGGAGGGAGGACAGGGAGGTGATTTCTTAGTATGAGTGTTATTCTGGAGTAATAAAATTTTTGAAACTAGAGAAAAGGGATGTTGCACAACATTGTGAATACATTAAATGCCACTGAATTGTACACTTTAAAAGTTAATTGTATATTATCTGAATTTTGCCTAAAATAAAAAAATTAAACTGTAAAATTAATCTAATCATATGCTTAAAATTATTTCTTCTGGGCTAAAATGTACTCTCTGAGTTCTTCTTCCCAACTAGCCCTCCCAAGCTCCTCTGGAACCAACTGAAAGGACTCTGAGAAATGTAGGCAAACTCCCTGGTCTCCTCAACCTCAACCAACAGCACCAGCTGCAGAACTAGGAGAATCCTTGGCACCTCTTTTATTCCTCACTTTCCCACAGCCAGTCTAGCACCACATCCTTCCTAATCCTTCTCAAACCTGCATTCTCTCCAACTCCACTTCCAACGCTGTAGTCCAAGCTACTCTCGATGCACCCCTGAACCACTGCAGCAGTTATTAACAAGTCCCCAGTCTTTTCAAACTACAAATCTTACTCACCAAGTGCTACTTAAAAACCTTCAATGAAGAAAGAAAAAGAAATAAAAACCTTCAATGGCTTCTTGCCCCATCAAAGGGCCCTCTAGATCTTGCCTTCTTTTCCTGCCTCAGCAAACATCCCTGCCTCTTACACACCAAGTGCCAGTCACGCAGGTTCTCTTTTAGTTCCTTCAGCATACCACATTCCCTCTTGCTACAGAGGTGCTCCTTCTGTCTAAATACTCTTTTGCCTGATCCCTCCTTTTGCTGACTTAATTCCTCTCAAGAATCACTTCCTCTAAGTTTGAGTCAGATCTCTGACCCCCTTTGTTATAAGCTCTCAAGAACCATATGCCTTTTCTTTAGAGACTTGTCTCAATTTGTACTCCCACATTCATAAAACTGCCTGATGAATTCATGTTTGTCTCTTCCGTCAGACTGTAAACCCC